CTTTCCCTAGTTTTTTTTTAAGTCTCTCTCACTCTCTTCCTGTATAATATCTTTTTTATCTGTTCTCTCTCTACAGCTGCCCCAACTAGTTCAGAGAGAGAATTAGCTGAGTAGAGTTTTTTGCTCGCCCCTCTTCTGTGTGTCCACATCTATCTTTTTTTATACAATTTTCTAACTTCATCTTTCTCATCAGTATCAATTTTGTTTGTTTTCTTCTCTTCTCATCCAATAATAATTATTTACCAATGCTATATGTACAAAAGCTCTTTTCTTGAGCTACAAACAGCCCCCCTCTGTGTCACAAACACAACAAAGATACCTGAGAACAACTTTTACACCCTAATGAATGGTCCCTAAACATTCCAACACAAAATTCTCACTTCAAACTAATGTCAGAAATCAGTGCTTTAGTCAAGTATATGGTACTTCCAAGTCCTGTGGTGACTCGTGAAATAACCAACCACTTCTATTGGCAGTAAAACTAAGATGTAACAAACATAACACAGAACATGAAACAGATGAAATCAAAATAATTAAAGAAGCTCATGGCAGTAAATCATGAAGAGAAATTTGAAGTCTAAGTTAACCACATACAGTGTCCATCGGCAAGCAAAGCAAAGTAGCAGTAATTCCAGCAGCAGCACCAGAAAGGAACCTCTCAAAATTTGTGGTTTCCTCATTCCCAGACAATTTTAGAAGCTGATTTCTGTATGTATCATAAGCATAGAAATTGATGGACTTAAATGGAGCAGTGCGAAGAATATTGACAAAGTTTCCCTTCCAGAAACCTTTCAACCCTTGTGTCACCGCAATTGCCTTGATGACCTCAAAAAGATTCTTCTGTTCACCGCGAACTATGTACTCCAGCTTCAGCCTCTCAAGAGGTGCTACAAAAGTCCTGTTTCAGAACAAATGTGACGCAAAAGAAATATTAATTCATTAATTAGAACAAAAAAGAGCTATTAAATTAAACATATACATGGATCATTAGCCAGTACATGAGATACACAGTGTAAGGGACTTGAAAGTTAAATTAACAAACCGTTTGCACAAAGTTCAAATCACATAACTCAAGGCTTTTAGAACTTTTTGAGAAACCATAAATAAATTCCATTAAGAAAACTATATGTTCTAAGAAAGTTGAGCAATTATCATAGAGAAATCTTAACAAAGATTAAGTTGAGCAATTATCATAAAGAACTCTTAATAAAGATTCGGAGCCCAAAATGTTCTCAGTTTTGATTTCTTGCCGCAATTTGACATACACGATTCCAAAACAGACAATCATCAGAGAAGTTTATTTAGCATAAAAGAAAAACTGCAGTAGTTTTCTGCTTGTACAATTAAGCAGAACACAGACACAAAAAGATATGCATAAATCAAATCAGTGCTCTATTTAAAATCCTTCCGATAACCAGTTTTAACAAAGTTAGTGAACAAAAATTCATCTCTACATATGATAAAAAACAAATATATATATATATATAATCTCTATATGCAGTAAAGAAAACCTCTTTATTAAACCGTCTTTAAGGAATATAATTATTATCAATCTAGAAATACTCTTCTACTACCATTTATTTCAATACAAATATTGCTACATTCTTACCTTATTAAATAAATCATAAAACTATGTTAAAAGTAGCAATAATAAACAATAGCAAGCAAGAAAAGAACTTTAAACCATAGCAGCACTCGTGATCTCCTAATAAAGTAGCAGCAATTCTTATGAAATAATTAAGATTCAGGGAAAAAAACTGCTTCTAGTTTCCGTTTCCTATTTTAATTCAACAATGCATGATTTTGAAATAAACAATAATCATAACTTTTCTTAGAAAAAAGAAGAAGAATTCAAATAGGTTCCATGAATCATAGATACCCAATTCAAAATTAATCTCTAAGGAGATTTTAACTAGGTCAGTGAATAAAAATCTATGAATTCACAAACCAGAAACCCTCTAAGTACTTGCTTACAAAATCTAATTCAATCACGAAACAATCTTCAATTGCATTACCACTTAATTCGATGCAAATATATGATACTACAATTATAACTAACTTAAAAAAAAAAGATTCATAAATCTAGAAGCAATAAAAAGAAAGAAAGAAAGACCTTGAAACCATAGCAGCCACAACACCAGCCCATAGATGTTTAGTTGTATTCAAAGCTGCTGAAGTACCAGATCTCTTCACTTCAACCTCCTTCTCCTCCACCAACTCGACATTTTTCTCAACCCCATCTTGCCCCAAACTCTCAATTGACTCCCCAACATTCCCTTCATCTCCATCTTCTTCTCCCCCCTTTATTGACAAGCTAACAGACAAAAACACCCCACCTTTCCTACCTAGCCGCCGCATATTCTCAAACCTTAACAAGGTTCTTTTCGACAAATAGGAATGACTGTCATTGTTTCCCTTCTTCTTTGAAGAAACTATAGAAACAAAGGAAGGAGGACAGATGGTTTTATGATCTAGGAACAGTCCCCCGAGAATGAAGGGTTGGTGATCCGGCAGTTCAGATTCTTTGTCTTTGAATAAAGAGGCAAAGAAATGATGATCTTGACCGTACATTATAATGGGACTTGAAGGAGGAAAGACTGAAGAGAGATTTAGCAAGAAGAAGAAGAATGATGCTAACAGCAAGAGAAATGGTTTATAAGGATTAAGGAATGAAGAGAAGCTTGAAGAGGAAGAGAGAATAGTATTAGATTTGCTCTTGTTGTTGTTGTTGTTGTAGTTGTTGTTGGGGATGTGAAAATGACAAGGGGAATAACGTAGGAGACGATGCTCTGCTGTGTGCGGGTGGGGTTTGTCTTGAATTGCCACAGTTACATAGGTTGCATCGGTCTTGTTTTGTTTTTGTTACCCAAGTGTGGACGTTCCTTTCGTCTTTGGCTTATGACAAACAAAGCTTGATTTGGAGACAGGGACGTGATTTTATGAGGGAATAGAATAGAATAGAAAGTGGAACTCTTTGGCGGCAATTGCGTCACACATTTTTCCTGTTTTTTTCAATGAGTTTTGAGGTTATTTTCTACTGGGAACTGAGTCCTGATTCTGTAAATTTATTTTCCCATTCCGACTTCGATCGATCAACAAAGTTTTCGAGAAGTTCTGTTCGGAGAACATGGAATTCATAGGCGGCGGCGGCAATCGCGTATTAGATTATTTTTGGGGCTATTCGCTTACTGGAAAGTGAAATTTGAACTCGTTCTTCTGTTATTGTCGTTTTTCGTAGCTTTGATTTTGTGTTTTGTTTCCAAATTCGTCACCAAGCAAGTCGTTAGTGTGGTGGTTGTACTTCAAAGTTTTTTTAAACATATATATATTAAAAAAATATTTTTTTATTTTTTAAAATCACTATATTAAAATAATTTAAAATTAAATAAAAAAAATCAAAATTTATGAAAGCGTCCGGTTTGCTTAGCATTTCCAGCCGGGAAGCAGTCAGCCTCGGACTCTGGGTTCTTTCCAGAGGTTTGTTTATATTAGTAGAACTCTTATCTGTCTAGCTTGAGCTTATCCATGAATATCCTAGATTAAATAAATATAAAAAATTTAATTTAATTTTTCAAGAAAGTACAAACATTTCAAATAATGAAGTAATATTTGATATTATAGTAATTATTATTTTTTATTTAGAAATATATTAAAATATCCTTTTTATTTTTTAAAATTTATTATTAATATCAATACATATTCAAAAAAAAAAATTATCAGCCCCACCTACCTAAATTGTTTAATTTACAGCAGCAAACCAGTTTCAAATTATTGATTTAGTTAATTCAGAATAGAACTTGAAGGAGTTTTTTCATGGAGTTAGTTTCTACATGATATCTTTTTGGTATTGTGTTTTAAAAATGTTTAAAAAAAAAATTAAAATTTTATTTTTTATTTAAATTAATATATTATTAATATCATTAAATTATTTTGATACTAAAAATAATTTTTAAAAATAAAAAATATTATTTTAATAAATTTTAAAATAAAAAATTCTTTAAAGACAAATCACAACCACGCTATTATCCAGACTTTTATTTCTTTCCACTTTTAAAAAGCATGAAGTGGCTGGTGGAATCTGAGGCGTTAAAAATAGTAAGCATGGCTTGTGATTAGTTAAATTAATGGAGGGTGGGTCCATTCATATCTTCCATCTAACATGCGCATTCTATCCACCAAAACCAACATTATTTTGAGAGAGATGAAAACGAAGCAAGAATTGATAGGTGTACAGAACAAAGTAAACTCAATTGACATGCTTCTCCGTTCTGCATGAAAAGGTATTCCCGCTAGAAACAAACTAGTTTGTTTGCTGCAGGAAATTTTTGAAAACCACGTTGATTTAACATTGTTTTTGTTTAAAAAAAAAATAGAAACAAGGATGTTTTGGCTTCAGTCTAATTTAAAAAAGATTAATTTGTTGAATTCATGATCTATATAGTTTAAAAATTATATAATAATAAAAATAAATATTTGTTAAAAAATGATAAATAAATTGTGGAGAAGAAATGTATTTTTCTTGTCCAAATTATCTTTTTGAATTCATGTGTTATTTTTGTTTTGCCAACAAAACAGTTTTTTATCAGCAACAATTAAGGAAAAAAACTACGAAAAATATAAAAATTTCAACTAAAAAGGAAAACGCATATAATTTTAATAAAAAAAAAATTCTATTCTCATTTAATATTAGTAAGCACATTATTTAAAAAATTATGCATATTAAGTTAATACATAATCATGTATAAAATAATAATATTATCATTAAAAAATCTTTAATTTTTTTAACAATAATGACATAAATCAATCAATAATATCATCATGAAAAAAACCCAAAGAAAAAAATTATGCGCTTAGACTAAAGAGATTAGATTTGTATGGTTGGCCCAATCATGACCGGTAGACCTGAATTATAATTATAATTTAAATATAAAAATAAATTAACTTATTGTTATGACCTGATTAACTTGATGGGTTAAAATATAACTTGGATGATTTACTAAAAATAAAATTTAACTTGAGAAGATTCAAGGTGTTATATTTTTAAAAATAAATTGATTCGGGTCATGAAACCATAATAATCTCAAATTAAATAAGTTAAAGTAAGTTATGAAACTTAATTATTAATAAAATAATTATGGATTGATAAAATTAGAAAAAATCAATCTAAAAAAATAGCACAATAAAATAACCTAAGTTTACTCGGATTAACTTTCAAAACTCGTAACTTGAGTAACGAGATTAGCATAATTTCATAGAGAACAAACCAAAGTAAATAACAAAACTTAATTTATAATCAATCAAACACTGAAGATCTTAAATGATAAAACTAAAAAAAGTCAATTAAAAAAATAAATAAAAAACTTGAGTCAATTAAATTAATTTGTTAAACCTATAATTTAAATCATGAAATAAAAAAATAAAAAAAAATTATAATAAATTATAAATTATAATATCTAATAAATCAAATGTAAGAAAATGTTATCAGAAAAAAAAATGTTTTAAGCAAAAAAAAAAACATGAAGAGGCACAATTGACGCCGAAGAACATCTGTGCTCTGGGTGGTTGCACAACTTGCTTATGGAATAAGGAATATGTGCTTATGCCCCTTTTGAAAAATCGGAAAGTAACATGGCATGGCTGTGAGAATGCCCTGTCAAGGAAGGGACCGTCATGGCCGAGATGCTTCGATGATTATCAATACTGGCCACCATGATGCATTGCAACAATGTATTTCAGAAAAAGGCAGAAAATAATATACGTATTAGTTAATAGATGCGTGCAAAGTTCTATACATAAAATTTCCTTATTATTTATCTTTCTTGACTTGTCGAGGCTTTGTTCATGGTTATGCAAGAACTCCACAGAAATTGATTTGGGTATTATTAATTTTTTTATAAAAAAATTCGAGCCATCACTGATGTATTGTGGCTTGTGTGGCAAAACATCATGGATTGCGAGGCAAAACAGTACTGATGTGTTAGGAGGCAAAATATAAAAGAATCGCACAACGGCTTTTTTGTTATCTTCATTTTTTTTTTTAACTTTGGTTGCTGAAATTTTTTTTTCTTCAATTTTATTATTTGATGTTGTGTTGATTAGAGTTTTGGGATAGTAATTTCTTTTGATTTGTCTTTAATTTGGTTATTGTAATATTTTCAAACTATTTCAATATTGATTTGATGATTAATTTTATAAAAAAATATTAATTTAATTATTTGCAAGAAGTTGAAGGTGAAGATATCAAAACTCAAAATAAAGACTAATGGCATACCTTTTATTTTTTTTAAAAAAAAACTATTGTTAACTTTTGTTTTTTTTCTTTAATTTTTTTCTTTTTAATTGGATCCCTCAATGTTGTGTTGATTAGGATATAGAGATAACTCAATTTTATTGTTTGTAAAAAATCAGGGGATTGAATTGTATTACATAAAAACTTAGAGGTCTGTTTTTAAAACAAAGATTTGTGTCGACACCATCTCTTCAAATTTCCTCTTTGGGGTTTTGGTAAAAGTCATTTTTTGTTCCTTGAGTTTGGATCTTAAATGTTTCAATCCAAAACTTTTTGTCCTTGCATTTTAATCTCCAAGATCTAAAGAACAGAAACAGGGTCATCAGAATACAGGGGGAGAGAACATGTTGGCAAGCATATATATTTTTCAGTGATGAAACTCTTTATTTGTGGTGTTATTGGATTTCATTCGATGAGAGAAGATTCATTTAAACATTTTCCTTTTATCTTGTTAAAAAAATATACCATGACCTGTGAATGTTTTTTATTCAAGTTGATTTTTTATTTTATTTTAAAATCATTTATATATTAATTTAAGACCTGTGAAGATAAATAGGTTTTTTAAGGTGTCTAGAGTGTTTCTTTAATGTATCTTGATGGAAAAAGGATGAGAGATGAGTTTTTAAGTCCTAAAATTAAATGTCCATGATCTAATCAACTATGGTGAAAAATAAAATAAAATAAGTATAATATTACTTGTGTAATTTATTTTTTAAAAATAAATAATATGTTATTTATTTAAAAAAAAAAATAGTCTAGGCGTATAGGTTTTCCTCAGCTCACACACCTAGATATTTTTTTTAAACCCAAGCATGTTGGGTCAGCCAAGCTTGTGTGTCTAAGTTATTTTTTTTAAAAAAATATTTTTTTAATTTATTTATTTATTATATTTTCAACTCCGATATTTTATTGATATTGAATTAGCCCACATTGTTTTTTTTTTTATATATTTATCAATTTATTACAGTCTCAAACAAAAACCTTAATATTTAATTGATGCTTAATTTTACAACTATTTATCTTTTATATTGTATAATTAAATAAAAAATAATTTTGAAAAGAATATTCATCACCCAAATCACTTACATAATGGATTACCTTGGGTTAATTGGATTTGAATATCATTATTTATTTCAGTTTATTTTCTATAAAATTATTGTGTTTTTTAATAAATGGTCCACCATTAAGTTAGTGGTAGATTTTTTTAGCATTTATTTTTTTTATTATATAATAAAATAAAAAATTATAAAAAAACAATTATTGAACTTCGGCCAGGAGTTTTATTAAAAAATTATAAAAAAACTATAAAAATCACATTTTTTTTATGTAAAAGGGATAAATAAATAATAATGTTAAAAAGATCAATACATATTTATAAATAAATAAAATCATCGAGTTATAAAACTTGTGATTGAATGCTCAACACTAACTTAATAAATAACTTGCAAATACACATAAAATAATTAGACCTGCAGAGACATACATAAAAGTAAATTTACAAAAAATAAATAATTAAGGTAACATTTCCTTCAAAATGATGCAGAAGAAAAGTGATTTTTATATTCTTTTAAGTATAAGTATCTTCTTACATGGATCTTTAAAACTAA